GGGGGATGGGTCAGCCTGGTGGTGGGTAATAAAGGGCACGTATTGAATGGAGCACTGGGTGTTATACGCAAACAATGAATCATGGAACACTACATCAAACACTAATGATGTAATGTATGGTGATTAACATAACATAATAATAAAAAACTGGGCTATTGTAAGCAGCTATTATAAATCTGCTACAACAAATTGATCCCACCCTCAATGATTTATAAAGGGGCTAGGAAAATAGACTAACATTCCAACATTCATGACATGGTGTGTTGGAAATTGGAGTTGTCTTGTGTCCGCAAACCAATGCTTACAAAGCTTTGTTAAAAATCGAGTATTTGCTAACTTCCATTTTGCATACCTTTTTCAGCTCATTGGACGGCCAACCCTTCCCTCATACTGGGCACTTGGATTTCATCTCAGTCGTTATGATTATGGAACACTAGATAGCATGAAGGAAGTCGTGGAGAGAAACCGTGCGGCAGGGCTCCCTTATGTAAGTAAGGCTTTAAACCTCCTCCTGAAATAAAGGAATTTCCTTGGGGAATAGGAACAACTGCTTATAATTTCTCCCCCTGAGTTATTTTTTTAATATATACAATAAAAAGATTTTTATATATTCAGAATGCTAGACTTTTTTGCTGTGCTGGCCATTCCTTTAAGGAACTAGTTCTTTTTAATAAGAAATGATACTTAGAGACCACCATTTTGGGGTTCAGAGATGATCTGTTTGTCTTTGTTTTTCTTATAACATTTTCTTAGTAAAATTTTCTTATGCTTACTGTATTGACTACATTTATATAATGTGTTTTTTCTTGAGTTCTCAAAACATTTCTTTCCCTAGTTTAAGTGAGCAAAAATATAATAACAGAATATTTTAATATTTTGAATGGCTAAATTTGAATGTGTCTGTTCAATCATGGAGAGTGAGGTTTTTCAAGAGGTGCAAAGGAAAAAGCCCAGTAGTCTCTGGAATAATCCTCTTCTCTTCCCTACCCCTTTCCCTTAGAGGCAGACACATAGGTCCTAGGGCAAGAGTCAATTTCATTTTGGGCACCACTATTTTCATATAGGTAGAATTAGGAAAAAATAAGTGCCAAAGAAAACTTGAGTTAGAAGAGAAGCAACAACTCTGAGGAACAAACTGAGGGTTGCTGGAGGGGAGATGGGTGG